GAGGAGCTGTGGCTCGGGAGCCGAGACGGATTTTGATGTGGAGTTACGTTCTGGCCATCATCGCTCATTAGTTAAGTACGGATTCGAGGAGGGTATCGTCATTTGCGGCTGAAAGCTAGGAGCGAGAGGTCGGCACGGAGTAATTATTGCATCCCACACTTGTACAGACGAGGCTCAAAGAGGGCGATCTTGGGTGAGAGACCCCGCCGAGAGTCTTCGGGGGCCCGTATAACAACTTTGGAACCACCTTTCTCGACATCCAGGGTACCTCCCTCGTCCAGTCCTTCCCGACTCTATTCTCTCCGCACCGTTAGCCAAGGGACACACTTCTTCTTTGAATAAGGTGCTTGGCTATCAACCTTCAACATGCGGTTCACAAACCCATTCTCGCATCCTCCACGGGACACATACGAGCAGCACTCTCTCATCGCCGAACAAGATGGCCGAGCTTCACCGTCAACAGAATCGCTGGACGAGATCATCGACACTGAGAAGCGCGAATACCCCTTCCTGATCTCAGTGAGATCCGCACGGAATTCAGTATCCTCATTCCTCAACGAACACCTCCACCTCGGCGGCGACCTGACATGGACAGACCGCCTCCTCACACTCCTCACCACCTTGAAGCCATTCATCTTCCTCTTCCTTCCTACGTTCTTCATCAGCCCCTTCAACTACTTTACTACAGCCCCGAGCCAGCGACCAAAGCCCAGAAAGTTGGGCCCAACAGCATACCTAGACGGCCTCCGCGGCGTCGCAGCCTTTGTGGTCTACATCTTTCACTTCTCCTACCTCTGGTTTCCAGACCTCCGATGGGGCTACGGCTTCGCGGGCCACCAGATGTTCTGGCAGATGCCCATCGTCCGGGCCCTGCACTCTGGCCGCGCCAGTGTCACCGTCTTCTTCGTCATCTCAGGCTTCGTCCTCACCCTCAAGACCGTGTCGATGATCCACAAGCGCAAGATGGACCAGGCTCTAAGTGCCCTAGCCGGCTCCGCCTTCCGCCGCCCCTTCAGGCTGTACCTCCCCATCTTTGCGTCGACCTTCATCATCGCTCTCCTGGTGTATGGTGGCGAGTACGTAAGAGATCCCTCGGGAGCACCTGTACCGCCCCGTGGCCCGAGTCTCGACCAGCAGCTGCAGCACTGGTTCTGGAGCACGGTCAACTTGATGAACCCGTTCCGACCAATTGTCAACAGGGAGAACATGAAGGGAAGCGAGTACGACGGGCATCTCTGGACGATCCCCGTCGAGTTCAAAGGGTCGCTACTCGTCTTCTTCCTCTTGCTCATCTTTGCGCGAGCCAAGAGATGGATTCATATGGTTGGTGTCACGGGTGTTACCCTCTGGCTGGTCCACATCGGCGACTGGGACCAGGCTCTCTTCTGCGCCGGACTTCTCCTCGCAGAGCTCTCCATTATCATGCCCAACACCGCCCCATCGACAGAAACAGCCGAAGACCAGCTCCCTAGCTACAGGCTGCGCGTCGTCAAGAGATACGGCTCAAAGTCCGTCCTCATCTTCCGCCACGCAGGCACACTAGCCCTCTTCTTCCTCGGCCTGCATCTCTTCTCTTACCCAGAGTACTACGGCGCTTCAACCCCGGGCTTCATCACAATCTCGCAATGGGTGCCAGACTACTACAAAGCAATGGGCGACCGCACCCAACTCTACTGGAACTCCATCGGCGCCATCATCTTCATCTTCGCCTTGATGTACTCCCCGCCCGTCACCTTCAACCTCAAGTCCCTGCTACTCAGGGGTCGCAACATCCGTCTGCCCTGGCACCAAACCACCCCGGATCTCGACGACGACGAAAAGGAAGAGCTCGCAGCAGCAGCTACATCTTCCTCCTCTGCGGAACCCGAGGCAGAAAAAGCTGAACCGCTTCTCCAGCGCCCCTTCACCACGAGCTTCGCGCAGTACCTCGGACAGATCTCCTACTCACTGTACCTGTGGCACGGCGCCATCAACCACATGGTGGGAGTCAGGTGGCTTTCGCCGGCGCATGGCGCGTTGTCGCTTGCCGGTGCCCAGGCCAAGGTGCTCACGGAGGGCGGGAACACCGCCGGTGCTACTGAGATGGTGAACAAGGCCTGGGGCGCCTACGAGCTTGCGTTCTTCTGGGGATCGCTGGTGAACACACTGGCTCTGTTGTGGGCAAGCGATGTGTTTAATCGGATAGTTGATGTAAATGCTGTCAAGTTGACTCGTTGGCTTGGTGAGAAGGCATGGAGGAAGGATTGATCCAGTTTGATACTGAAAAATCACATTAGCGAATTCACGAGCATTACACTTTCGATAAGTGTTCTAATAGCATAGTCAAATCAAATTTTGCGATATCATTCAATCCGATTTCCCAAGTGTGCATGAGATACTTCCAACCTCTCTTGCAAGGAGTAGTATGACGATTCAAGCCCAATTACTTGCCGGATCCCTGAAGTAGAAGATCATGGACTTCCCCTCACACGTATTAAAGCTATAGCAGCGTGCCTTAGAAGTATTGTCTCACTCTGTACAGAAAGTGGTCAGCCCGAGGCAGTCTATTTGCGTTGTAACAACACCACTTCCCAAACTTGTCATTAAATCATGCCGCCGTAAATCCACACCCAGTCTTTCCACTCTCATTAGCGACCGCCGTCGCGGAGCAAACTCCCTTAGGCCCGGCACAGCACCCGGAAGCACAGTCCGCGTTCGAGAGACACTGACCCGTGATGAACTGCTGACCATTCCCTTTGCCAACATTCTGTGAGCCAGGAGCACCAGAGGTGCCAGCACCAGCGCCAGAACCTGCACCTGTACCTACGGACGGAGCAGCTTGGGGCGGAGCGGCAGCCTCAGCCGCCGTGCCGCCTCCAGTAGAGCCAGTGGCGGCACCCGCTCCCGTGCCCGTAAAGCCGCAGCCTGCCTTGCCATTCTCCGTTGCGACGGCTCTGGCGGCACAAGCACCCTTGGGGCCGTTACAGCACCCCGAGGCGCAATCCGCATCAGACAGACATTGCCCAGTGATGAACTGTTGGCCGTTACCGGCGCCGACGTTCGAAGATGTCCCTGATCCTGCGCCGCCTCCGCTTCCGGCGGCGACTTCCATGGACGGAGCGGCCTGGCCTGCTCCCTGGGACGCGGCGGGTGCTGCAGCAGCACCACCATCACCGAAGCCGCATCCTGTTTTGCCTGCCTGGAACTGGGCTCCAAGTCCAGAGCAGATGCCGGCGCCGTTTAGAGTCGCGCAGCAGGTTGAGGCGCAGTCTTTACTGTTGAGGCAAGCGCCGCCGATGAACTGGACGCCGTTGCCATTGCCGACGTTCTTATCACCAGATGGGTCTGGTGTCAAGGGACTGGGAATTGCAAGGGAAGAAGCAGCGACTGGGGTATGTTAGACCGAGTTGGATAGTAGAGTAACAGCGGGAAGTGCGAGGGATAGAACTTACAGAATGCTGCGGCAAGGGAGAAGCGAACCATGATGTAATAATGAGAGTAAGAAGAGAATGAAGTACTGTCAAAGTACTGGAGTATAAGAATACAAGAAGAAGTAAGTGACCGATGCTGTCCCTTTGAGTTAGATTCGCATCCAGCTCGCGAACATCCGCCATCTTAAGTATGTTCCCCGTCTCTCCATCTTTGACGATAAAAGAACAATCCGAACATTCCTGCACGTCTGCCAGGGCTCTCCGCGCTTGCTGATGCCTCCCGTCTGTCAAGCAGGTCAGTCAAAGATGCGACGCAGGTCTGTCACAGGGGCACGTTTCTGCAACTGAGGCTGAGCAAGTCAGCAACCAGAAATCGCAAGCTGAATGACCAACATCTTTCTCTTTTCGTTGCGTAGTAGTGCTGTCAAGATTCGGGACCGCCACCCGGCGATCCTGATGCCGTCGAAACCCCATGAGACCAGATGATCAGAGACCATGGCGCGGCGTGGACCAGTGAGGTTGTCGAGGCTGAGGTTGGAGAACTGGGTCGCAGACGAGGCCGTCCCTGTCGTGCTAATGTTTCGGATGGGACGAAACATCGGAGAACGGCAAACGGGCCTAAACGCGCTCTCGAGCCCCTGAACCAGGGCACCCGCCAGCAAGAGAAAGAGAGTCGTCGACCTGCCTCGGTGGAGAGGAGATGAAGAAAAATGTGGTCGCTGTAGAATTTCTGCATTGCGTGCGAGCTCTCCCCTGCCACGATCTTCCGACGATCCAGGTTTCCCCATCTTCACAGGTGTAGTATGGCCCAAGCCCGTAATGGCAGCTCATTCGTCTGTTTTGTTCGGTCTGGCTGAGACCAGCATTGCGAAACGAGAGAGGCTGTCAGCTCGGAGTGGTCTGTCCCATCATGGGCCGTTTGAAGCGAAGGGTCTCCTATTATTCGCGAAGAAGGATTCGACTCCACGGTGACCCAAAATCCAACCCCATTTTCCCTAGGGTTGAATGTGGGAGAAGTCGCAGTCTGAGGACGTGGTGCGGATGGATGTTTGGGCCGCCTCACAGCATGAATGCTATCCAGTACGGCCATATGTAATGCCTCGTCTAAGCCTCGCAGTACGGTGTTCACATTTCGTAAAAGGAGGTTTGGGAATCCGTGATGCTGCCACGCGATCCTTGAAAGGGGCAGCCTCGAGTAACGTTGCTTCACGACGTGACGTAAAAGGACCGCGGCGGCTAACTGCTATGCCGAATTCAGTGTTGAACATCATCTTTCGAGACGGATGATTTTCCCGTGGCATTGTTGATAAAAAGTGCCAAGAAGAAGACAGACGTCGTTGAATGTCCAAATGTTCAGCAGAGTTTCGCGAAGTTGTGAGGATCAGCCAAGCGGTGCCCTGTGAGGAATTGACTTTCCTACAGCACAGGGGCTCTCCTGTTCAGTGCTCTTTTGGCAGCTTCGGGACTCAAGGCCCCTGCCGTCCCAGTGAAGCTTACTTTATCTCTTATCTAATCAGTGTGTCGTCTTATCGTTATCTTATCTTCCCACACATCACCGACGGGGTGTCCCTCCCTCGGGCGAGACACTCCATGGAGAACCGCATCTTCATCTCATCGCCGACCTTCGTTCTAAAGGCTATGATAGCGAGACTGCCGCGCGAAGAATACGATTACATCTTCATCCAAGACGAAATGTGCCGGATTCTCTCTTTTCCGCAGAGCCGAATGTCGCATAGTAGCCACCAGCCCGATGCAGGACCGGATCACGAGAGTATTCCACGGACGTATGGTATTGACAGTCACAATCCAACATCGGACCGATCCACCGGCGCTGTCAGGAAGCGGGATCATAGCGGAGGATATGAAATTACGAGTACTTGCAAGCAATCGGCCGGGACTCCCCGATGAAAGCGCCGAGGAAAGGATGGCCAGCCATCCCAGAACACCGCTAGAGTACCATCACCCGAGAGCGACTTGTGAACGCGGGCTGGTCCAATCTCGACAGAGACTCTTCACTGCTCTTCGGGCTCCTGTAACCTTTGAGCATGTTCTCGGGCGGTGAATGCTCCGGCAACTTCAATATACAAAATTCAGCAGCGACTGGATTGCCATGCAAAGTGGCTTTCGGCTTGCATCCTTCCCTACTTCCCCCGGTGCATCTGATTGGGCCACGACACGGACTTCAGTAACATCGAATCCCTTGAGAACCCAAGACGACCTATGAGATTGTACCATTTGCAGCATCTCGCCCAGGGTCTACCAGCGCATCCGTGGTGTTGACCTGGCTCCCGGAATCGTCCCAACGGCTAACCTGCATTTTGACACCTCTCAAGATGCACCTCTAAGCTGCATCGCCCTAGTGTCGCCCTATCCCATCTTTGGATTCTTCGGCCTATGTCAGCTAAGACATGTCGCCCGCTGGAAGCAGTCGAATCCCCCTCCCTCAGGGTGCCTGAGTACCTAGTGACATCAGGTATCCCAACATTCCAGGAGAACCCCGCTTGCTGGCCTGCGGGATTGTTCGCGCCCCTCCATCCTCGTGTCGAGTTTGAATTGCTTCTGCTTCACCACTGAGCCCATACTCATGGTCTAAAGGATTCAGATCAAAGAGTCGAAGTCTCTTGAATATGGCTGCGCCAGCACACGACGTCGTGGTGGAACCGGACGACTTCAATGACACTGACTCGTCCCTGGGAGATGTCAGCAATGTTCGACACCTTGTCATCCCCGTCAAAGTCATTTCGTGGCTGATGGTTGCTACAGGACGGAACCTCCTCGACCGCGAGTTTGAGCAGCTCGATTCTCGACTATCGCAAAGAAAATGGCCGCACCTATCACAAGTTTCGCGATGGGAGTCAGTGATGCCGAGCCTACAAACCCCTTGATCCTTCACTGACACCCTAGGAGAGTATCACTTTCCAAATGATGAAGAGGAAAACGAGAGATTAGGTCAGTTTTGGTGGTCACCTCCTCCATTCTCAGAACTGATTCTAAATTGGCACTCAAAGATCTTCAACACCACATCTTTGACCTCTCTTTCGATGGGAAACTCGGGTTGTCACCGCCTAATGAGCCCGAATCCAATGTTGGCCGCGTACTAGACCTGGGAACCGGAACAGGCATCTGGGCCATGGACTTTGGAGACGAGCATCCCGGGGCCGAGGTTGGTGTTGACACATCAGTATAGCCTATGGCCTTCTTACGCTGATATCGCAGGTCACCGGCGTTGATCTGTCACCCACCCAACCGCAATTGTCAGTATCGCTAACCGCTTTTACCACAGGCATGACATTGACAGAGCATACAGTGTACCACCTAACGTCAAGTTTGAAGTCGACGACATCGAGGACACTTGGACGTACTCGCGTCCTTTCGACTACATCCACAGCCGGATGATGAACTCTAGCATCTCAAAGTGGGAGGAGTACATCCGCCAGTCTTATGAGTAATCGCAGGCATGACTTCTCCTTTTGCTAGACAGGCATTGATGCATCATGACAGAAACCTCGCCCCCGGCGGCTGGCTCGAGCTCCAGGAATTCGGCCTACCCCTCTCTGACGACGACACCCTGAAAGAGGAGCACGCTCTCTATCAGTCCATGAAGCACCTTGGCGAGGCAGCAGCCAAGACGAACCGCGCCTTTGTCGACCTCGACGCGCTCAAGCCTATGCTAGAGGCCGCCGGCTTCGTTGACGTGGCGGAACTGCGCTTCAAGTGGCCCAGCAACACATGGCCGCGAAACGCAAAGTTCAAGGAGCTCGGCGCCTGGAATTACGAGAACATCACGACCGGTCTGCAAGGGTTCCTCATGGCAGCGCTCACGCGGGGGCTGGGCTGGAAGGCGGACGAAGTCAACGTGTTGGCCGCGCAAGCAAGGAAGGATGTCGGGGACCGAAGTATCCATGCATACTGGCCCATGTGAGCTGCCTTTTCCTACACAACCAGTCGTCTGATGGCTATAAGTGGAAAAAGAGTACTGACTCGAGCAGGATCGTGGTGTATGGGAGAAAGCCTGGCTCCGGTTAGGACAACGCCAAGGACTCAATGATGAATTCGTCCGGGCCGGATCCATGGAAGACGGGCCGGGTGGGTTCCTCCGCACGGAGCACAATTCTCCAACACTGGGAGCCCACCTATCCTTACCCCGAATTGATCCACAATTCCCGAGCAGGCGGATGTGAGAAAAATTTTCACAGACGAAGCCATCGAGATTTCGGGCTCGCCGACGGAGCCAGCCCTAGCCGCGCCCACACGCCAACCGCCTCCCTCCTTAGTACCACCCGGAGTCATTCTCTTTAACAATCAATAACCCGCCTTGCTAGCTCAATCGGTAGAGCGTGAGACTCTTAATCTCAAGGTTGCGGGTTCGACCCCCGCGTGAGGCTCAAATCCTCACCGCGATTGGCAAAGCCATTCTTCGGGTTATCTTTTTGGTTCTTTTTGGTCGTTTTTTCTGGCCTCTTCTATGGCCTGCTCACTTTTTTCCTCTAGATAATTTGGTTTCCATCCTTTCTTAGTGCTGGTTCCTATGGATCCCGTAGATCCCACAGAAGCGCATCATGAGAAGGAGAAAGCTTTTAGGAACAAAGTCCACTATAACAGTAACAAAGAACACGACAATCGTGAAGCTATCTCCCAGGTATCGGGAACTAAGGTTGCATGGCATGTGCCCATCACAAAACCCAATAAGAAACCATCTGTAAGGATGATGTAGAAACACCAAATCCCGCTCCTCTCCCTGACCTCTGCAACACTCCCTGCCCATCACTCATCCTCAACCTCGACCCCCCTGAACTCAAACACCCGATTCCACTCCGGATCCGCAAGCAAATCCCACACAAGCTCCCTCTCCACCGCCAACGAAATCTCGTTCCCCTCGTCATCCCCGCCGGGACTCATCCTCGCAGGACGCGGCGGGTACACCACCACGAGCCCACCCGTCACAGAGTCCCACGGACACCGGAACCCGCTGGGGCGACCGAAGCCAAAGTCCGCGGTATACGGGTCCGCGTCGCGCCAGTCCGTGACGAGGAGGGTCGTGGGCGGGAAGACGTCGGAGCCGGCGTAGAGGGTCAGCTTGTTGCGGACGCGGGCGATGCCGGATAGCATTGCGTTGATGGCGGGTGGGGTTATGCTGTTTGTGAGTTGGCGGATGTACCTTTGGAAAGAATATTAGCTGTCTGTCAATTCGTCGTGTTTTGGTCCAGTACAAGTCGGATGTTGGTAGTACGGATATGCGTGGAGGAAAAGAGGGAGCAACAAGACAAAGAAAACTCACCACGCAAGCTTGCTAAAAGGTGCATCTTCAACAACCTCCTTGATTGTGAACTGCGGCACAACATGAGTACTCCTCGACGCGATAGCAACAGCAATCACATTCCCCTGCGTGCGCGCCGGCATAGGCTTCCCCGACGCATCACACAACCGCCTCCTCACATCCACAGCCTCAACCCATTCAACCAACGTCTCGGGGTCGGGTTTATGTAATCGAGCTTTATGCTTCACCAGGACGCGCCACAGGTACGCATTGAGCGCATCGTAGCTCGAAATCCAGCAGTCGCTGCCGTTGCTGCTGCCGTCGCTGCTCCCATCCGTAGCCAGCGCCGGGGTCGCCAACCGCTTCAATTCAGACAGCTTGCTCCGCGGGATGTGGAAAAGCAACCTCGAAGCAGCCCTCTGCTCGGGATGCCGCGACGGTCTCGGTGGCCCGTCGACGAGTTGGTCAGCGGGCGGGTCCGCGACCGTGACGCGTGAGAGGTCCAGGCACGCGGGGTCCCACGGAGGCAGCTCCGGTGGCGCAGCAGCAGTACCAGCAGCAGTCGAGGTAGCATCACCAACCGTAACACAACCAAAATTAGTACTACTACCACCACCGGCAGCGGCCGCCGCACCCGCATCCGCATCCGACGCCGACGCAGCCCAGATGGCGGCACAGTTCTCGGCCAGCTGGCGCATTTCCCCCGCCCACCCGTTGACGTCGTTGGCCAAGTGGTGGTGCATCATCATCAGCACCAGCCCGTCGCCGGGGATGAAGCTCGCTTTGAAGGACGCCGCCTTGGGATTATTCTCTGGCCTGTTTGCGGGTTTTTCGGCGGGCGTCATGGGCGGCACGCACCATAGGTTCAGATCGGGGCCGAAGGCGCGGGTGCTAAAGTGCCGGCGTTCAAAGTCGGCGTAGGAGGGGTACTCTTCATCACCCCCCTCTTCTTGATCCGCGGCGCCATCCTCGCTGTCGTCATCGTGAGATTTGTTGCTAACGTCGAGCCATTGCACGTGAAACTCAACCGTGTCTTCGCGCCTCTTGTGGAAGCACAGGCCGCTCCCGCCGGCGGGATCTTCCCTCAACGTCCCGCAGAGGCGGCGGCACTGGCTGAGCGTGATTTCGAGCCCTTGCTTGAGGACCTCTACGATCCTGTGCTTGTCTGCTCCCGGGTCGACTTTGAAGAAGAGGGCGTAGGCGCAGTAGATTGTGCCGGAGCAGTAGTCTAGCGTGCAGAGGCGGTGGTATTCGTCTTCCGGGTCGGATTCCCAGCCCGTGGGGTGGAGATTGTACACGTCGACTTTCGGGGGTGTCTTCTTCTTCTTCTTCTTCTTCTTCTTCTTCTCCTGCTGGTGGTTTTGCTGCTGCTGCTGCTGCTGTTGACATCCAGATTCAAACTCAACCCGTCCCCTTAGGAGCGATGTAAACGTCCCCATGTTTGGAACCAGGCGGTTGAGGAATTGGAATGAAAGCAATTTGAGTTTCCAGCGGTGACAACAACTTTGACAAATCGGAAAGGTTAACGGGCATGGGCCAGCGTAATTTCAATACCCACGTCCGAAGTTCCCCACTGGCAGAGCAACGTAGAAAGGGAGGGGGGGAGGGTGATGAACCCTCTATTTATTATGATATTCCCTTGTGGTTTTGGACGTGGACCAATTCCCTTCCGAGTTGCAACTCGAGGATGGGGCATCGCATTCCAGAACGGGTTCTACAGGGTGAGGAGCTGCGAAACCACTTCATAGCCTGGCTGATGGAAAGGCACAATGGGTGCTGGGATCTCGAGACATGGCGCCTACAAGTGGTGGCCTTTGATCGTGAGAAAGGGGGACTCTACCATCGTCAATGGCGCTTGATGAAAATAACGAGTTACAACTTTCCTCCAGGCCTATACAATTCAGCGAAGGCGGGGTTGTTGAGTCCGCAGAATGTAGCCCCAATCAAGCCAAGTTGAAAAAAAGCTGCTGAAAAGGTGTAATATTTGCTGTTGCTCTGAGACATGGCGCCCGAAAGTTATTGAGCTCTGGAGGATGACTGAGGTCGCGTGAGTTGTGATCCCAAGTCTATTTACCGAGGGTTCGAAAGACTCGAGGCTCCAGTCCTGGGTCGAGTTGAGGGGTGGCAAAAAGCTGTTAAAACTCTGAGAGTAGCTGCTGAAGTTATGGAATGTTTGCTTCAAGTATAAGACATGGCGTAAAAAGTTGCGAAACTGGAGAGGGAAAGTGGTTACTAGTTCCCTTAGTGGCGCTGGACAACTCATCCAAGTCTAGTCACTATCCTGGGTAGTACTCGAGGTGGTTGCAAAGGCCGAAGGCAACTCATATCGAACACAATGATTGAGCAGTATTCTCCCTCAACGTGTGTGTCATTCCTCCACAACTCCAGGTAGTCAGGCTTTGACTCCTGCGATATATCCCGGCGAAGGAAAAATTGTAACCAATGACACACTCCGATTAGTAGCTGTACAGTTGACCGAAACATCCATCGGGCGAAAGAGGGTCTCTAGAGTTGCGTTGGTGGCGCCCCACGCAGATGTAGATTGGCCAAGAGCATGCAACTGTGCAACTCACAACTCTGTCTTGTGGTTGTCGGCGTTGGTTGCTGGAGACTCAAGGTTAACTCGATAGAGGGACAATGTCTCACATCTGGACTAGGCAACTAGGCCAAAACTAGTCATGGATTTCAACCGGACTTTGACCAGTCTCCAGTGACGTTAGAGTGATTGGTCTTCGGCGTTCACGAGAACAGCAGGCTAGCTGAGCCGCACCCTTTAGGTCTTGGAATATCGTTTGCTCAACGGAAGGTGAATGAGAAGAGCTGGCTCGTCCTTCTGCCAAGCCATCATCGAGCCTGATATGCCAACGATTTGGAATACCATAAAACGAGGCTACTAAGGAGAAAAGAGACAACAGAAATCTCGGTAGGAGTGACGGTGTAAAGTGGTATCATTGAAACTATCCTATCCCAACAGGTTGATAAACGGCTCCGGCCACTTGCCCATCAACAGCGGCCTATCTCCCAACCGACCACTTACCGGCGCCAGGATCCTCAGCTTGCGCTTCTCCTTGTCGATATCGGCAATGTACACGTACCCCATCACGTTGGCCGTCCGTATCGTCTCCGGTGAGTCTTTGACTGAGGCATAGACGATCGCCAGCGTCCAATGGGCCATGACCTGTGCGGGGTCCACGCGCATCAGGCTCTCGTCGGCGCCACCGCCATACATGGAGTCTAGATCATGGCCAAGTAGGTTAGCAAACATTGTGCATGACTTTTGGGCGGGATTGTACGATGGGGTGCGAGGTGATCACGTACAATCTCCTAGTTTGTATATCGCCAGGCTATCAAAGTCGACTTGCTGCGTGGCGGGACTCAGCGTCTGGCCGATGCTACCGAAGAAGTATTCCTTAATGGACGCCTCGCAGGCCTGCTGTGTGTAGCCCACGTCGCGCTCAACCACGCCCTCTGACTTTTCCAAGAGGAGGATGCTGTAATTCTCGCCGAGGCTAGTCCTTTCCGTTGAGAAGCGCTTGGTGATTTCGGCGTTGAGACTTGGTGAGCCCAACACAATAATGATGTTGACTGCTACTATGTCAGTGCCAGCACATCAAACCATCGATAGAATAGATGGGAATCATACCTGAGAGCTCCTCCACGACATGCACAAAGTTCTCCATGCCAACCTGGTTGGTCTCCGTCACGGCCTGCGTGTCAATTATCATGCCAGACCCCTTGACCTCGGGATCCTGCCCCAGCCTCGACGTCACCGTCGCCGCCATCTTACTCACGAGCTCCTTGTACTTGGCCGGGTCCTCCGCAGAGCTCGCGTGGCCGTAGTAGTACACCAGCGGCAGCTTCACCGGCACCTGGCTCGGCCCGCTCGTCGGCGTCGTACCCCACCCGTCAACAGCCTCGACATCCAACAACGACCCGACGACGCTGGCGCTCAACGTCCCCGGCAAGCTCAGCATCCCCTCCTTGGGATCCGTGTTCACCACCAACGGCTGCGCGCCCACCCGCGCGGCATAACTCGTCAGCGTCCTCGTCAGGCTCGTCTTCCCCGTCGTCGGCGGCCCGCAGACGGCGATCCTTGGCCCTTCCCTCCTCTCGGCGGCGGCGCGCTGGCGCATGGCGGTGAGCTGGAAGTGCAGGTTCAGGACCGAGTTGGCGGGGGAGTCTTGTGGTTTGGCGTACTCTGCGACGGACTCTTCCGCCAGCACGCCCTCGACCTCGAGCTCGCATCCCTGCAGGGTGAGGATCTTGGATCTGGTGCCGGCAAAGGTGTAGATGTGCTGGAGGGCGAGCTCGGTGCCGTCTTTTTCGGCGGTGCCGGAGAGGAGTTTGAGGGTGATTTGGGTGTCGAAGGCGACTTGGAAGCGCCATTCCCAGAAGGGCTGGAGGCGGATTGTGCGGGTTTGGTTCGCGGACGTCGGTTGCTGGTGGAGGGTGTGTGTGTTAGCTGGCGGTTCTCGAGCTCTCTTGATGGTGTGGTTTCAAGAGAAAGGCGGTGTTTATTTGCTTACTGGCGCCACAAGGTGGCCCAAGCCGGGGATCGACATGGCTAGATTATCTTATGATCATAGGATGTCGGGTCTTGAGGATAAGGTGCGTTGTGACCTCTGGAGGGTTGAGGAATCGTCAAAGATGCAGCAACTTGAGTCGCGTGGAAAGTCACTGCCAACGCGCCCACTGGGAATTTCAATTGGGGACCTTGACATCACGGCTGGGGATACTGGGATGGTCCGTGCGGGAGCTTCCCACACCTGGCGGGGGTTTATTCGGCGGGGCAGCAATTCTCAGGGCCGTCGTCACTGTCGCATGCGGCTTCCATGTTCCTGCATATTCCCCAGGTCTAGCGGGACTGGGAACACGGTGTGTATGCTGTATACGTTTCGGGAGGGAACACAATATGAGATAGAGGTATTGACGCCAGGTATTCTTTCTAGAAAGATTTGGAAAATAAATACGGTAATCTTCGAGGCGCATGACCGTGAGAAGCAACCGCAAAAGTCCAGCAAAAAGCGCACGATCTAGGGATCCACCCCGGTGCGGCGATGCCCCTCAGGAACCCAAGCCCCACCTCAGATCCCCCGGCTGCCTCCGCCTCGGCCGCATGTTCTTCCGTGACATCCAATCATTCGGTCGTCTTACCTCGGACCTAACCAGCACCATTACGCAAGTCCCCCACGCCTCACCAGTCATCCCAGCTCCGCCACCCTTACGACCCGTTACGTACCGGCTCACGGCTCAATTGCTTCGCTGCCTGCTGACCTGATCTGAGCCCGCGGGACCGAAACCTTGAGAGGCGAGAGGCGCAAACGTCACCTTATTTGCACCCATTCAGCCACCCACCTGTAACTTCTGCGCAAGAACATCTTCTTGCAAAAGCGTCGACTTTAAAGACTACTACAAACATCAACACCGCAGAGACCCTCAAGTCTCTTTGCAATCACCACTACACCTTACACACGTTCCAATCCGAGCATCACACCTCGCCGAAATGTGTTCCGCAGACATCTTCCTCGGCCTCCTGGCCCTCCTCTTCCCGCCTCTCCCAGGTAATTACATTTCCCATCCATCCGCGCATTCCAAAACGCACACTCTTAACTGAACCAAAACTAACATCTACTCCAACAGTCTGGGTAAAGCGCGGCATCTGCGGCGCAGACTCAATAATCAACATCCTCCTCTGCCTCCTAGGCTACATCCCAGGCCTCATCCACGCCTGGTACATCATCGCCAAATTCCCCGAGCCAGACTACGAATACGAGTCCGTCCCGCAACAGGACCGCGAGGGCGGCCGCGTCACCTACGTCTTTGTCCACGGCAACGGTCCCAACGGAAACGGTCCTCACACCCAGCAGCCGCGCCAGCAGCCCCGCCCCTCGCAGCACGGCGGCAAGGGTAACGGCGCCGTCGGATACGGTACCACGAACAACAGCAGCAACAACAACAACAATGCTGGCGGTTCCTCGAGACAGCAGCAGCAGCAGCAGTTCTCTGCGCAGCAGCAGGGTGGCGCTGGAGAGGGAAGCAGCGATGGTGCTGTGCCGCCTAGCTATGCTGAGGTCGTGGCTGGCGACAACAAGATTCAGACTCGGGATTAGAGCAGGATGGAGATATTCTAGAGTGGCGTTGTAGGGTCTTTGACTCTATTGCTGCTGTTGCCATCCTCTTTTTCTCTCGAGTGCTTTCTTCTTGTTTTTCTCCGGCTTTTCTGGCTTTTCTTCGCTTAGGCTTGCCCGGCTTGTTATTCCATTGGTGGCTCTTGTAAATTGGTTCAGTTTTTGTAAGCGCGGGGATCGTTTGGAACCCGTCGGTATGTGGAGTTGGGGTGGTTTGACGAAGTAATAACGTTTTGCACGAGTTTACGCGAGACACTGGTGGGATTTCTCGCTGTATCATTCACATACACTAGGTACTAGGTACCAGATCCTCAAGACTCATCTCTATAACGGGGTATCTTGGTCCAATCTTTCCGAAACGCCCATGCTTTCGTGACGTAGCTACCTAGGGGGAAGTCTAATAGAATGCCCCGTTTTCAGCCTCAAGCTATCCTCTAGCTCATAGTCCACCTAGCCAGTGACCTCTGTCATCTTCCATGAGACGGCCAATCCCGTGATGTTCGCGTAGTGACAGCCGGACGATAACTCTTGTACTAGACCAATGTCGGTAGTCAGTTAGTTACAGCTTCTTGCTTGCCGGTCTCCGCGTCTTCCTTGATGGCCGACGGGGCAGGACGCTCATTAGGTACGGGCTCCTTGTAGTGTCGCATGAGGTTCTGCGGCAGGAAGGTGTACCATTCCACGAGAACTTGACGAGCCTGCTTCACAAACTTGATGCCAATGTTGAGCTCGCATACGCAGAGTTGCAGTTTGAAACCTGGCTTCAGGCGCTGCAGGATTGAATCTTCCAGGTAGAAGGTGTCCCGCTGTTCATCAGACAAAATGATGTCCTCTCCGTAGTCGTAGCCATCCTCGATGACGCAAGGCTTCGTGATGATTATTCCGACGGGCTCGAATCGGTGTCCCTTGCCTAGACGAATGCTCCGTGTGAGCCTGTGCGCCTCATCATTCGGCCGGTGAATGGAGATAATCTCGACGCTGCACTCCTCCTCGCCGATGACCTCAATGGTGCCGTACTTCAGACCATTAGCGACGGCATTGAACTGCTCCTGGGTAGCATTCATTGCCATTGCAACCTTGAAAACCGCTTCAGGGGAGAAATCCATTGGCCGCTGGAATTCCTCGGCGTCTCCAAAGAAGAAAAAGTCATTGCAAAACAGCTCCGACAGCGCCAAATTGAATTGGCCAGGAAATCGGAGGAGAGCTTGATGAGACAACGGCAGGTCGACTTTGGCCTTTTGGCAGAGATCCAGAGCTTCTTTGACATTGGCGTCATACTCTGGGCACACGTCGTGCTGGAGGATATAGGTGAGAAAGTTCTCTAGCAGGCCAACCGCCTTGCCCATCTGCGCGTAGTCCCAGGCCGTCTCGTTCGGGAGCGTCTCGGAGCAAAACCCCGCGACTACACCGGCAAAGTCGACATCCCAGCCATCGGGATCATCGTCGTTGTAGAACCGCGCACCACCGCCGGAGCTGTAGACGGTGTCAATGGCCGTTGCTTCTCGTCTCTCTGCCGGTGTCATGTCCTTGAGGTCGGCATCTACATTGCCGCCAAACATGCGAGGTGTGGTGTCGATGCCTCCCAAGAAGAGGTACTTGTTGAAGATCTGGTCGGAAGCGCCCAGACGGCGGCGAGCGCGGTAGCGCTGGATGCATGATTGGATGCGTCTTTTGGTCCGTTAGTTGAAGTTGTAAAGTCAAACGAGGAAGGAAGAATCTTACTCGGCAAAGGTCAACTCTCTGTAAGCCCACGTCAGTGATTGCCCGGAGCTAGCGATGGATGACACGAATCACTTACAGGCTGTAGATGTTCTCACGCTCCTCCTGGGCTTCGGCAGGAGCCATGGGAGGGTCGGCATAGAATTCTGGGAGAGCATGTCAGCAAGGCACAGCCGCGATCGAATGTGGTCCAATGAGGTATACCCTCGAAACCAGTGCCGCGATACTTGTGCATGGCAGTTGGACCGCGGTCGGCCGTGGCGGACTTTTTGCCGGCCATGTTGTCGCGGTGTTTTCGTTGTGGCTGAAGATGGATATCTTGTTGTATGAGGAGAGGAAGTGCAAGTCTACAGATCGCGGTTGCGTAGAGAAGAGAAGCAAGTGTACTGGAGGTGAAGACGGGTAATCACTTCACGCTGTTGGTCTTGGAAAAGAGATTCCACCGAAAGGTAAGGTGGCTAGTACGCAGGGAAAGGGTATTACTCGTTCTTTCCACTTCCGATTCCATAACTTTCCCATCGCACTTACAAAGGAAGGAGACGGTTTGCATCACCGCCTTCCTTGTATCACAGCTTACAGTAAGAGCACATTGGAAAAAAAAACACGGAATTAGCAGGAAACTCATTCCCAAGATGCTTTCTGGTCTCCCCCCGGCGCAACACAAGTATGTTGAAAAAGCATGAGATACTGTCTGGTCCTCGGAAACGGCATGCGCAGATCGCGGATCCGATCTAAACTTTGCCTGATGTAAGAATCCATGCGACCCAATCACTTCAGGCATTCCCAGTTATCGGAGGCCTGCTGCAGACGATCTTCCATACAAACGCTGACGGTGAGCCAATTGTCTCCGAGAGCCTGGGTTGCTCAGGGGTTTGTGACGTGAAAAGCACGCCCGGTGGGTTGGTGGGTGGAAGCCTGCGTGCCGTACGTGCCTTAGGTACGTGGGACGCGGCATAATATCATTGGAATTGTAGGATGGCTTGCATCTGCAGCGCGGCATTTCGCTTCTTTGAGGCGGGTGGAAAAAGCTGAGGCGGAGTTACAATCATCATGCATGAAAAGTCCCCATCGCATTCGTATGGCGCGCGCCGCAGGAGGAAGAGGATGGATGATGACTGACCAAGGCGGCGGGCTGCATATTCCATGAGCTGTGTGGAAAGCCCAGCTGACATGATTCGGTCCTGTCACGGGGGAGCAAGAGGGGCATCTCTCGTGCGCTGGAGAGGCAGCGGTGAGACCATCCGATGCAGATAACACGACATGACCCGAGCAGTTGGTGGTATCGTGAAGAGAGGCAGATACGGGCCGTTGGTTCCCTTTGGATCTCACAGGCGTGGCGATGCAACCTTTTTGTGGTAGTGGTGGGAGGCATCACGATGAACCTGTCCAACGATCCGTGCCAGATCTTCGGCAATGGCGAAACTCGCGACTGCCATTTCGTGTAAAGTCGCCGCTGATTCATGAGATACAGTCACACCGTCGAGATTGTTCAAAAGCGAAGGTCCCGAGAGCGAATGCTCCGTGAAAGCCAGCGCCAGACTCGGAGAGATACGCTGTAAGGTAAGCGAAGTCGCAGGCCAGCTGACGCATCGCCCTTTGTATGCAGGATCCTCAGTCTATTGAACACCAGTGGGAGTTAGCTCGTCGGCCACGACAACCTTGACCAAAGCCTCGACTTGCTGTGTCGTGCAAATAAAGGGAATATGAGCTGCGCCTATTCAGGCCCTGTTGGAACTTTGGAGCAAGGTTGAATAGAGGGGAAGAGACAAGGAACTTGAGTAAGGCACTCGGCCGACTGCGGGACAGGCGGTTGGGGTCCATGGCTCACGGAGTGGCTCGAGTGTGGAATGCCAGTGGTTCGTGTGTACGCCTGGATGTGGGAGCGACATGGGCCAGCGGCTGGACAAGGCGGATTCTGAAAGGAAAGGGCTGAATTGAAGTTGAAAAGTGAGGGAGGAAGAGGAAGACGGGAGATTATTGGTGATGTGGCTGAGCAGATTCGCAGCTTCCGCCACCTTTCTAGTTCTTTTCCAACGTTGGACTCCCGCAGCGGCCGGCAAGGGTCTTTTTTGGAGGGGCACAGACAGAGCCTGGAAGTGGATGGAGGGGGCGGAAGAGGAAGTAGCGTCGTTTCGATAGGTAGAAGAGGTCCCTGAGAATAGCGGGCAGCGGGGGGTTCGTTTGCCTTTGCGGTTGTTCTGGTCCCTTTTCCTTGTTCCATCCCGTGCCACCCACCTCACCCCAAGGCACCTGAAGGTAAATCATGCCTGCTACCAGCACCGTTGCGACGTCGTGTTTGTGTCTCTGTTCTCGAACGCCTCTGGCCAAGCTGGACGGGGGCAAACAGCGCTCATTGCCTGAAAAGACTTCTTGTCCCGTCCCGTCTGCCACTTGCACAAGGCAAGGTACTTTAGGTACTCCGTGCCTACCTAGGTACCTAGGTACCCAGGTAAGGTAGATACGTACTCAATGGAACCCTCCCTCAGGCTTTGGGGAAAGGGGCGCGACGATCCACTGCAAAAAAAGTACCTTGTGCTGCTGAAAGTACCTTGCACTTCGTTGGGGACACAGAGATACCTTTTCAAAGTTCCAAGTACGAAGTGCCTTACGGTACAACATCGCAGCGCCTCGGAGGTACGTACCACTTCGCGAATGGCATTTTCAATCTCGCTCTCGCGCCCAAATCAATTTGGTTGCTGCTGGGCTGCCGGCGCCTGCCAAACACATTCACTCATTCATCGTGTATTCGTGACTACGCCTCCTTCTTTCTCCTCCTCATCCTGTCATCTAACCTTGTTCCCTTGTCACCATCCTCCCACACCACCCCGGAACTAGACCAACTGCATTTTAACCTCTCCCCGTCCCCTTCATCTCGACACTGGACTCCTGGAGGCTCGTCTCTCTTCAAGTTCTCAACATTGCCGATCCACAGCTCTCAGGCTCGCGCCTCCATTCGCTTCCCTTGCCAAGCCGTCTCGACTGCCGTTTACCGACATCTACCAGATCGAAAGAGCCAGAGAAATAGAAAGCCAAGAAGACGCACAACGCGCAGACATACATCAGTTCGCCACGCCGCGCTACGGCCATCCAGCATCACATCCGTTACAAAACTTTCCATTTACCCCGACTTCCACGCGCCAGGCGCATCTAGGATACCCCCTGGGCAACCGAATCGCCCATAGACACTCTTCAACAACCACCTATCCTCTCTCGTTTTTTCCAACTCTCCCTAGCGCAAGCACCATGTCCAAAACAAAGATTCCCAATCTCCCTGATCTCTCTGATCTTCTCGACTACGATCACACCGTTGCTGGCCAGTAAGTACTTGCTCTGCCTCGCTTCCCTCGCCCTCGGCGCCCCCTGTGCTCGACGAGGTGCGCTGTAAAGCCTCGCAAAGGAATTGAGATTCTAACGCTAGTTCGCCACTTTCAGTGCTGGAACCATGACCACTGCCGATGGCTCCATGTTCATCAAGCCCTGTACGCAGGCAGAGATCGATTTTTATCAATCGGCCTACTCAGACCCTGCGCATGCCGACTTCAAAGAAATAATGCCCGACTTCTGGGGAACCTTGAGCCTTGTCGACCCTCTCGAACTCAGCTCTGTCGAAGATGGTGTTCCCGGCCCCGTCGCCTCGCCTGAGGCCAAGAAGGAGCTTGAGGCCTCCGTTACCGGACAGCCACCGGCCGATTCGCATCAGGAGAATGGAAAGTGGGTGCAGAACAAGTCAAAGAAGATCAAGACCGATCAGTCGGTCGTCCTCAACAACTCTGGCTCGGGCTTTGCCTCGCCCAACTTTCTCGACGTCAAGTTGGGTGTCAGGCTGTGGGCCGACGATGCGCCTGCCGAGAAGAAGCGCAGGTTCGACGACATCACGAGCAAGACCACACACGGCCCCCTGGGCTTTAGAATCGCGGGTATGAAGGTCTGGCGCGGCTCCACCATGAAGTCCGAGCTGGATCAGAATGACTACAAGGTATACGATAAGGACTACGGCCGCACCTACGTAAATACCGATAATGTTGTCGAAAACTTCCGTAAATTCATCTTCAACAAGGCCGCCGGTATCGACGACGACCTGGCACGCGCGGTTGTTACGGCTTTCCTGCATGACCTGCGAAACGTCGAACGTGTCCTCTCTTCGGAAGAGAGCAGAATGTACTCGGCTAGCTTACTGTTCGTTTTCGAGGGCGACGGCGACAAGCTCAGAGAAGCCATTGCGCAGAACAACGCGGCCGTCGACAGTATCGTGGCCGCGGAGGCCAAGGTTGAGGCAGAGGGCGAGAAGCCTGGTAGAACTACCTCCCGTGTGGATAGTGGCATCGAGCTGATCGAGGAAGACCGTGTGACGATCCATGTTCCTGATCACGGTAGCCTTTCAGACGACGATGACGATGACGACGATGTCGAATTGCCCAAGGTCTTCACGTTGAAACTTATTGATTTCGCCCACGCACAGTGGACTCCCGGCCAGGGTCCCGACGAAAACGCGCTCAAGGGCGTGCGGAGTTTGATCAAGATATTCGAAGAAATGGAAAAGGAAGAGTGAGGTCCAAGACCACTTCCCTGCCGGCTCGATAGAAGTTGCTCGGGATACAGAGGCTACCGGTCCTCGACTTTCGCAGCACCACCACGAAAAGTTTTGCGGGCCATGATTTGTGCGATAAACAAAGACCATCATCCACCAACAGGCTACAGACGAGCACGGTTTGCTCAACGATTACAATACCCAGATACAGTCGAGCGCGCTTTGGTGCGAAGTAGAAGTCGCTCCTGAGGAGGACAACAGGCTCGCATCCATGATAACGACCTTGAGATACACCATCATCATCATCACACCAGGCGTCGGGGATTCCTTTGCAGACTTATTCAATACCACTATTTTATTCTTATGATTTGTGCATCTGTTGCTTCGTAGTCTGAAGGATGTCACTACCGCGTGCTAACGGCAGGGAACCCAAAGGTTACCTCGCATCAACTATGGGCCCTGCATGGAACCAATGCAGGCCGGCTGCACAGGTAGAACACGGACGACATCTACTAAAATTGCGGGAACCCCACACTGAGATGTTGCTCGGGCAATGCGGGAGGGTGGGTTAACATTCAGTGAAGGAAATTGGGCATGACGAATGCCCGGAAGTAGCGGTATCATCGAGGGCTTCTCCTAGCAATACAGGACAGACCCAGGCATACAGTCTAGTAGTAGTATATAATACCAATTGTAATCGTAAGGCAGTGTACTTCTCCAGTTGTCCTGGCTTGAGTTGTCTTGAATGACGG